CACCAGTGATGCTCGCCGGAGAAGACGACTGGAGCTAGGGCTGCGGCGTCTGAGGTCAAGAGATAAGGTGGCATTGACCTTGGTGTGGACTTGCGTGCGTGTCTGGTTTGACCTTGACGTGTTTGCCACTTGGATTAGTGAAACAATGCGTTTCACTAAGTTGAGTGTGAATTATGATTTGGGACTTGCCATTTTGATATCCACACCCTTTGTTTTGGGGCCCAAGCGTGTTTGAACATGAACCTAGTCCAATCAGAATTGCTACCACACCTCCCTTTTCTTTTTATTTCCATTTTATTTTATTTTTCTTGCATTTTCTTTTTAATTCATTTAAAAATAGTTTTGTTCATCACAAAAATACCAAAAAATATGTTTCTGACATTTTGATATGTTGTGATATTTTCCATGATTTTTATTTTATTTTTCAATTATTTTTGCTATTTTTAATTAATTTAATTTGCAAAGAGGTTTTATGGTTGATACATTGGTTTTAGGTGTGATCTTTGACCTCAATTGAATACCCCTTTGACCAATTTTCCTCTCACACTTAGGTGTTTGATTAAGGCATATTTGAGGGCTAGTTTGAGGTATTGATGATCATTCCTCAATTGTTTTTCATTGGATTTCATTTGACCCTCGATGTTTGCTCGATAAATTGAACATGTTGTCTTGATTGACATAATTGGTGGTGCTTTGAGGTAACTCTTGTCTTGTTCTTTTGCACACTAATTTTGGTTTGATTCAACTTGAGCTTGGTATTTTAATTGGATTTTATTTGGGCTTGTTTCCATTTTTGGTTGATGCCTCAAACTCAAGTGTTTTAACTATGTGTATGCATGCAAGCCTTGACCTAATTTTGGGATATGATCTTGTGTGATCCCTTGAGGGCCTCTTGGGTTTTGTTAGCTCTTGTTAACATGTTAGAGGTGCTGACTTGCATGGTTATAGGTCCTTTGGATGTGTACCTTATGCCACAAGTCTTATATGATCATGTGTTTCCACTTGTGTTTGAAGTGTGAGACTTTTGTTGGACTTTGGTCCTCCATTTTAAATTTGGTCATTCTTAACTTGGTTTGATAACTTGTTCTTGAATTTGATGCATATTACTTGAGTTCACTTCTGACCTTGATGGTTATGTGCATGTTCTTGTTGCTTTGGCGATGTTTGTTCCACTTTGGAAATGTTGTGAACACTTGAGTTTCTTTTGAGTTGTTTAAGTGCTTTTATTCATGCAATCATGAGAGGGTGTTTGATTTAAATGTTCATGATGTGGTTGCTGCCCCACTCTACTCCTCCCATCACTTCTTTGATCTTGATTCATTTTTGGTATCTTTCATCTTAGGATATTTGTGGCATTTGATTGTGTGTGCTTGCCTCATTTGCCTTTGTGCTTTAACTTCCATCTTGTTGATTTGAATGTGAATTGTGTTTGTCTTTGATGAATGCTTCATGATTGCATATTTGTTTGCTTATCTCACTTCTTTTCATTTTTTTATTGACTTGTTTAAGTCTTCCCTTTTTGTTTCATCTGTGATTGATTTAGTTTTGTGTTTACTTGTGCTTGCTCACATGATCCCTTAGGATTCCTAGTCCCTCTGTTTAAGATGGGAGTATGAGAGACATTAGGATTTCAATCCTTTGCATGATAACATTAGGTAGTACCCTTTTATCCCAACTCTAGGACCACTTTACATGATAACATTAGGGTTCTCAGTTCTCTTTAGTGTCCTTGTGTCTTCTCTTCTCATCTTAAACTCTTTTAAGACACTTAATAAAGAAATACAGTGTTGTACGCTACGAGCCTTAAGTACATGAGAAATGATAAGTGAGGAGGTCTCTCTTCACATTTTCTAGAGTGTTTAGTGTATGCCCCTTGAGCGATATGTGACGCATTCGCTCTTATGTCATAGTCTTTAATGCAACATGAGTTTCAAACCAATTCAATTCACTTCTTTTAAAACTCACAAACAAAACTCAAATCTTTTCATCCTTTGGGATTGTTTCAAACCTCATTTTCATAAAGAGCATGTTATGTTTCTGTTTTACCGCAAACAAGCATTGTCCCTAACTGATAGAATGGAGATTTAACATTGCTCATAAAAATTCTTGATCCAACCAGTGGTCTAGTTTAGCCCGAACTACGTTTGCTCTGATTTCTCATACCAGACGAGGATAAGTAGGCATAAGACGACGATGTCTTGGCGAGCAACCTTTCCCCTTTTACCCGTAATTTCTCGAACTACGTTGACTCTGACTTTCCCATTGCACGAGGGAATATGTAGACATAAGGCGACGATGTCCTATCGAGTCTTTTCTTTCCGACCCCTCCCACCATTTAGCAGTAGCCTTTAGATAGTTTTCACCCATAGATTAGACAACAAACGTGGATCCCATTGAGTACAACGGACGTGAGGGGTGCTTATACCTTCCCCTTGTGTAACAGACTCCCGAACCCTAGATTTGGTTGCGATGACCTTGTCTTTCCCTTTCTCTTAGGTTTTCTTCGATCATTTCCTTTCCCTCTCTTTCGGATAAATAACGTTCGATGGCGACTCTTCTGTCTGTTTGCCTGCTCTTTTTCGCAGCTGCGACACTTTCAATCTAATATAGAACATTATAACATGACAAATTAAGTTATATTAGAAGAATAAGTCCATGTTCAATGCTTGATAAGGGTTCTTCAACTCTTTATCCTCATTTTTCTCTTTAACACTTAAAACTTTGTTTAATGATCCTAGTTCTTCAACCGTCCCTTCATTCACCTCTAGTTCATTTTGCAAAATATTATTTACTTTGCAAACGAAAATAGAGTTGGAGAGAGGGGCGGTTGAAGAACTAAAATCATTAAATAAAGTTATAGCGGTTAAAAAATAACATGCAAATAGCAGATTGAAGAATTCTTGTCAAGAATTGAACGCGTACTTGTTTTCTAATATAACTTTAACTATCATATTATGATTTTCTAATGCAATCTAAAATGTTATAATTCGGTAAGGGATTGGAAAAACACTTAAACCACATAAGATATAATAAAATCATCTTTTAAACAAGCATTCATAAAAAACATTCATCAACAACAAACCATAAACAACATACATGATACAAGAAACATATCAAGTCATAAAATGTTTAGGAAACTTACATGTCCCATAATGACGTCCACAATGAAATAATGATGAAGTTGAAGTTAGAGCTACAAATTTGTCTCTATAATGAATGGATGTATTTCTAGGTGTTTCAAACAAGTTTTCAACGCTCACTTTAGCTTCATCCTTGTTATTGAAACAAACATCCTTACCTACAAGTCAAAATAAGCATAAAGTTCAAACATTATGAAATAAGCTAATGAAAATAAACAATAAAACATAAATAGATTTTGAAACATAAATTATAGTGAGGACGAACCAGTAAAATATCAATTTGCTAAAATTTGATGCAACAAAGGTATCCTTCGAAGAAAACGAGTTGGATGCATAAATTTGGAGTTTTCATATAAGGGAGACGAGTTAAAGAGATGTTAGAGTTTTGTTTTGAGAGAGACGACTGTAATGTACTAAATAGAGAGATAATTTTGCTTATATATAAATAAGTAACACCTTTCACAACGGTTGACACTACAAACTATGATGAAATGATTGAAGCTTACACCACAATTGATAATACAAGTCCATTATGTCACGATAAATGGAAAATTGGTGTTGAGATTCAAACCATTTCACTCAAGGTACATTTCACTACAGTTGGTACCTATGACCGTTGTGAAATGTCTTTTAGTAAATAAAAAAAAACGCCCAAAAAAGAACTATTATCACGGTTATCAGGAAGACCACTGTAAAATTGGTGTTACGAAAGATCTATTTAGTAGTAGTGAGAAGACGGAGAAGCATGAGTCTCAGAAGTCGATGCCTCCACATGAACCAGGTTAGAGTGAACATGAGTCTCTAAAACCTGACTCTTCTCCCTCCAGACTGATGCATGTTGTGCAATTCTCCCGTGCCTCAGTCTGCCGTCTCTATTAGTCATAATGTCTATAAGTAAATCATGCAAGTGTCAGACAATTAGTACAAGCAATTCTACAAGAAAGAAAAGCAAAAAATAAACAGATAAATTTCTGAGATGCATCTCCAGTTCTTGATAATCTAAACGTTGAAAATTTTCGAAAATGGATCTCCGAAATTTTCTGCAACTTTTCAAGTCCGCCAATGGTGGTAATGCAAACCACCAAACCCTAAAAGTAATGCTTTGATTTATTTTTAATCATCGAACAAGTTTTATAGTATGCATAAACCATCATTCATGCAATTTCTACTCATTTTTTACCTAAATAATCAATTTTACTCATTTATATAAAAACTCAAAAAAATAAAATTTCAAAAAAATCAAAAGCTTATAAATTGAGTTTACTTCAGAATTGAATGATGTCTTTAAAAAAATAAATAATATTTTTTTTTAAATAAAAAAAGAAAAAAATTCAGATGCGTTTTAGGCCTAATATTGTTCAGAGATTTCTGAAATATTTTAAAAAGTATATTTTTCAAATTTTTTAAACTTTAAATTAAAATTTTATTTATTCAATATGTATCTTATGATACGTCTTCAAAAATAAAACAAATTTATATTTTCACGTGATTAAAAAATTCCAACTTTTTTTAATTTAAGGATCATGATCAAATTTATAAAAGTTTATAAAGACACATGCAGTATCGATCAATGCAGCATGTATGCACGTGATGACACGCGCTACTCGTACGTAAACCCCGATTCGTCTCGGCTTATTCGCTCTCTAGATTCATCTCACGCTTCCTTCAATTTCTGTGGATGTCTTTCCTTCTCACACTGCCACATCACCATTACCCTTCACACTTTCACGCCACCAAAATTTCCTCCACCTCAAATATTCTAAACATAAATAAAAATCATCTAAATATCAACCCATTTTTATATTCTCATTTTCATTATGTTGTATATTTAATTTCTATGTTCAAAACTTGGTGATTTAAATGGCTCAGCTATTGTCTCCAGTATACACAGAACCTCTCAAAATCCACAATCCGTCACTGAATTTGTGTCACAGAACCTCATGGCAGATGCTGCAGAAATCTCCAACTAGTCCTTGGAATTTCGCAACACGAAGTTCCAAACGAAGAGGCTTTGGTAGGGTTAAAGTTGCTACTGATCAGGATTCATTTTCTACCAGTGACACTGTTGGAGCTGAAGACTATTATGCAGTTTTGGGTCTGGTAATTATTCACATAACTCTTTTTTCCTTCTCTTTATTACTTCAAACTCAAAATATTCAACAATTTTATGGAATGAATGAACATGCATGTGTTTTGTTTTATGGAACTTCTAAGGTATTCACCAAAATTGTAGATCACTTAAATGTTTCTGGCTTACTATGTGTATGAAAAATTCTTTTTTTTTTACCAGCTTCCAGATGCAACACCAGAGCAGATCAAGAAGGCGTACTACAATTGTATGAAAACTTGCCATCCAGATTTGAGTGGGAATGATCCTGAGACGACGAATTTCTGCACCTTCATCAATGAAGTCTATGAGGTGGGTTTGTTTTTGGATATTTACAATTTAATGGTTGAGAAATTTGTGGTTTCAAGTTTTCTAACTGTTGTAGTTCAGGTGCTCAGTGATCCAGTTCAGCGCAGGGTTTACGATGATATTCACGGGTATTCTTTGACATCGATTAATCCTTTCGAGGATGATTCTAGTCCAAAGGATCATGTTTTTGTCGATGAGTTCAGCTGCATAGGTACTTCCAAATTACTCGCGCAATGTTGCTTTGTATGTTAAATGGTGTTTGATACAAAATATTTGGACCATAGGGTTGTGCTCAACTCTGTAAGGGGAGATAAGTTTGTCTCTAAAAACATCTAACTCGGGACGATTGAGTAAGATTCTATATACCGGGGAGCTGGCCATCCCCCATAACTACTAGATTGGACAGGATTAGCCAAATAAGAGTGACCATCCATAATTTTGTGGGGATGCTCGTAGATAAGCCATTTGGTCAAGCCAAATAAGGCTTTAACGGTAAAAAGACTCCTTGGACGCATCGCATGACACACTGATATGAACAACGAAAATGGAATAGAAATTAAATGAACAGATGAAACAGAATCTTTTATAGATAATTTTGGGTATATTGCAACACAGGTTTTCGAGAGCCTGTCTCTCCATAATTCAGATTCTAACGAATTTCCCTCCGATACTTTCTTAAATTGGTTTGTTTTTATTTATACTGCATCTAACATCCGTTCCTAATGAACACAATTAATCAGAGTGGTTGTGACTGTCACCATTTGTAATTGCTTTAAATTGGATGCTGTTTGGCTCCAAGGGATGCACCCTTTCTCCAATGGTTGCATCCTCTCGGGTTGCACTTCCTGGCCCCCATGGATGCGTCTCTGCACCAAGGGTCATACCCCCCTGATTCGCATCTCCGGACTCTACACCTCTTGGGTGGATCGAGACTGTTGGGTGGTTTGCACTCCCTGGGTGTTGTGCGCCCTGCTGGTGGTGGTCCAAGGTTGTTCCTCCCCTTGCTCGCTTTTTGCGGGTGTAAACCTTGGTGATAGGTGGCTTATGCTTATCACACACGTCTACCCTCCTTGCCTCAACTAATCACGAAGGAATATCTGGTCCGACCTACCCACATTAGGTTGGGCCTGATGAAAAGAGAAGGCTCACCAAGCCTCTAGAAAATGGACGCCTATAAAAGTCTAAAGGGCAAAGAAAGAAACATAAACTTCAAAACATTTCCCAAAATACTAGGTTATTCAACAATTAAGGGTGTTAGTCACCTTGAATGGAGATGATGGCCTAGGCGTGTATTTTAAGACTAGAACAAATGGTTCTATCTATGTCAGTGCAACTATTATTGCTTAATATTTGGCATATACTTAGTTTAATTCATGTGGTAAGTTACCCTAACTATCTGACAACACTTCCTTTATTGAAAAGCATTTATGAATCAACGAGGAATCACTAATCTTTGAAATAATGCCAAAGAGATAATAACGCGACATCTACTACTTATGTTCTTATGTTCTTAAATGATATGCTTTATTTATTGCTACACTTAGATAATGCATTGTTAACTTTGTTAGCTGTTGATATGATCTATTTATGTAATCATACAACTCAAATCCTTGAGCAGGCTGCAAAAACTGTGCCAATGTTGCCTGCGATGTATTTGCAATTGAGGAAGACTTTGGAAGAGCCAGAGTATACAGTCAGTGCGGGAACCCGGATTTAATTCAACAGGCTATTGATAGTTGGTATTCCTTTATTCTATGAGTAATAGTTCATTTGTTATTTTACTTTTGCAAATAGGTTTCAATTTTACATTAACCACATTTATGTATTCCTGATTCGGCACAAAAACAATATTGTTTATGAAGCAACTAAGATAATGGAGATTTCTGATATTAATTTAACATTCCTTTTTGTATTGTAGCCCTGTTGACTGCATTCATTGGACATCAGCTGCACAACTATCATTACTTGAAGACGAAATGCGCCGCATAGAAAGAGTCAATGTAAGGCCAAGTCTGTTCCATTTTTTTTCTTCCTAAGATCTCTCTTCCTAAGATAATTTCATCACATCTTATTCTTTCCCTTTCTACTACCGATATATGACAAATTTTTGAACAAACATCTTTTGTTTTGTTAATTTTTCATACTATAATTTTTTTTTATGTGTTTCCAATGATCTTTAGTACTAATTTGATGTTTTTCTACCTGAAATTTTTAGTCATTTGACTTCTCATAGTTATAAATATATTTCTTAAATGATACTTTAGATAATCGATTGGATAAGATTGTCCACTTGGTATAAATCATGACCATATCACCAAATGGATCTACCTAAGCTTTTTTATACACCATAAATATAACTACAGAGCTTCTTGAATTCGAGCAGGTTGCTCTGATGCTTTCAGGAATGGGATCAGCTATAAGTGATGTTTTCAGAATGGTAATGACATAGAGATTACCGAGTCATTTATATTTTTTATTTATGTGTTGTTTCCTCTAACATTGATCTAACTGTACTATAATAATATGACAGGCGAATACCCGATGGGAGAAAAGGCAGTTAAACTTCTTGGTAAGAACTCATTAACATTCACCTTTTTTTTATAAGAAAGCAATGTTTGGAGGCTCTACCTTAAGATTATTCAACATTTGCTTAACAGTTCCAAACTCTTTGAAAGTTCTGGGTTCTTAGATTTGGACCAAACTGCTTAAACACAAACATATTGATTACTAATTTTACATAAATGAGGGATGTCTTCAAACATATGAATCTGTGTATGACTAAAATTTCACCATAGTTTCGGCCAGTGTCTCTTTCTTTGGTAGAAAACTCCTTGATTGTTCAAACAACAAACATTGATGAGTGTCTTGCAGGCACAAGCAAGAATGAGAATGATGAAGCAGAAAGGTTATGACAAAGCAAATTCCTACTGGGACAATCTTCGTGGAAAACCAAGAGACTATGAAAGTTCAGGTATGAAATGTTAATATTAATCAACCGAGATATTTCCCTTATGTAGCTAATTAACAAATTTGGACTTCATGTTGTAAATATATGATTCAGTATTTGGTTGTGGCAATTCAAGTTTTGTTTATTTGACTTGAAATGATGATGGTTTTGCAGAGGAGGAAGCGAAAGAAAGAGCAAAAAGAGCTGCAGCTGCTGCTAGAAAATGGAGGGAATACTCAAGAAAAGGTGTTAGTAAGTCCCCCTCAGTCAAACTTCCAGAGGCAACCTCTACCAAGGACAAGTGACCCTCATTTTCCTGATCACATATCCTCTCTGTCCCATGTAATTAAGTCATCCATATATAGCCTTTCATTGAATTTGATAAGTCAATTTCTCATTAACAATCCATAATTGTAATTTGGGTAAATATAACATACATGCCTGATTGATAGTATATAAATAAAAGAAAGCTGTGAATTGACGTGTACAACTCATTTATTTCTACCAAAACTACTAACTGACCAGGATTGTCTGTATTAGAGGAGAATTTATGCATGGTGATAATGAAAGAGATGAAGCTCATGAGGAAGAGAGAAAGAGTTTGAGAAAATGAGCATGATATTCATGCAATTTTATTAATCATTTTCATCATGCACGTGCAATGGAAAGTGTTTACATTTATAGGAATTTTTTTCATCCCTACCATTTTTTTAAAAATTTATTTCCAAAATACCACATGTTTCAACAAATATACCAAAATGCCACTGTTTCAAAAAAATTGTTTTTTTGATACAAGGGTGCCGCCCATTCAATGGGCGGAACTGTCATATTTTTTTAAGGTGCCGCCCTTTCAATGGGCGGTAATGACCAAATATGATTTTTTTTTTTTACGTTTTAATTAAGACATTGCTGCCCATTTTGTGTCAAAAAATCAATTTTTTTGAAACTGTGACATTTTAGTATATTTGAAATATATGACATTTTGGAAATTTTTAAAAAAGATGGTCCTAATGATGAAAAAAATTCACATTTATAGTAATAGTTAGTTGTTAATCCTAACTAGCAGCTTTCAATAACTAGCTTCCATAACTAACAATCACCTTTAACTAAACTACCACTATCTTAATATATTTCCAATATTTCCCCTCAAACTTAAGGAGAGTCGGAGATCATAACCTTGAGTTTGGTGTGAAACTCTTGAAGCAAAGCAGATTCTAAGCATGACCTAGCACATATTGTATGTTTAGTTTTCGTGAACCAATTCGCTCGTGAACAAAATGAATATCGAATTTTATGTGTTTGGTTCGAGCGTGTAACATAGGATTGTGTGAAAGTAAATCTGCACTCAGATTATCACAAGTTTGGACCAAAGCTATGCATGAATCTAACGTAAATCTTCTATCGTATAGATCATTGGCTAAGAAGCAAGCGACAACAATAATTCATGTGTAATCGTAATAATTCATGTGTAATCGTACCATTGAGATATTCAAGTATATGTTTCTAAAGGTGCTGACATGAATTGATGCTGACACGAATTGACTCGCTTTATGTCAACATTACTATAGTTAGCATAGTTTTACCTTTTTACTCTTTGGTAATTAATTATTTACTGTCATCAGTTTAGTTACCTAGCAGTATATATAAGGCCCTAATCATCAATGTAACAGTGAGATTATCACATTCATTATTCCATCAAAGTAAAATGAGTTTCCTTTATTATTTTGATGCTCTTGTTATCCTCTTGTTAATATGGTATTAGAGCTCATCTGAGTTCTGGTAACCACCAAGTTGTAACCGTTTTTTTCGGCTGAATCTTGCTTCTTTCTTTTCTTCTTGATTCATCCCTTTTCTCTTTCTCCTTGAAGGTGCATCTATGGTGTTCTAGAACCACATTGATTTCTCCACCAACTCTGCAAACCCTTACTAATTGCATTCGAACGAGAATTCGGCGTTGATTCTTGTTTCGCCGCCGCTAACCGCCAAGAACTACCATACCTGGTCACGTTCGATGCATATCGCGCTGATTTTGAAGAACAAAGATAAGTTCGCTGATGGCTCTCTTCCGAAGTCTCCCGTCTCCGATCCGATGTACGCGCCATGGATCCGATGTAATACGATGGTATTGGCATGGCTTCATCGTTCTCTCTCCGAATCCATTGCTCGTTCTGTCCTTTGGATTGACATTGCTGCAGGAGTTTGGAAGAATTTGCGCGTTCGTTTCTCACAGAGTGATATCTTCCGCATTTCCGATCTGCAAGAGGATCTGTATCGTTTTCGTTAAGGAACTCTTGATATTTCCGATTACTTCACTCAATTGAAGGTTTATTGGGACGAATTGGAGAATTATCGTCCTCTTCCTTACTGTAAGTGTTCAACTCCTTGTTCTTGTGGCGCAATTGAATCTGTTAGAGCCTATCATGAACAAGACTTTGTTATTCGATTCCTAAAAGGCTTGAATGAACGTTTCTTGCACTCCAAATCACAAATCATGATAATGAACCCTCTCCCTGATATTGAACATGCTTTTTCATTGGTTTTGCAACAAGAGCGAGAACTGATTAGCTCTAACCAAACTTCTGCTACTGAAGTTGCATCTGAACCTGTCATAGCTATGCAAGTTAGCTCTAATAACCACAATTCCAATAACAAAGGGAGTTACTCTAAGGGAAAGGGACAAGGTTCTTTCAAAGGGGGTAATCGCACTTGCACTCACTGTGGTAAGAACAACCACATTGTTGATAACTGTTTTGAGAAGATTGGTTATCCTCCTGGGTACAAGACACACAAGCAAAAGAATCCCTCATCTCAAGCCAAAAATAACTCAAATGCTGCTGTTTTGGAGTCTGCTTCACAAGGCTCATCTGCACAGTCCACGTTTCAATTTACTCAGGAAATGTATCAAGGAATTCTTGAAGCTCTTCAACAGTCAAAACTTGGTTCCCAACCAACAGTTAATGTTGTAACAACTGCTCTTTTTGCTATGCATTCTCCTGCTTTTTCCCAACCTGGTAAGCCTTCCAATCTTTGGATATTAGATGTTGGTGCTACTGATCACATCACTTTTGATCTTTCCTCTTTTACTACATATCAAAATATTATCCTTGTTTCTGTGTCTTTACCAAATGGCTCCCAAGTCTTGGCTTCTATTTCGGGTAGTGTGGTTATATCCCCATCTATCACTATCCACCAAGTCCTCTACATTCCTTGTTTTCAAGTGAACCTAATCTCTGTCACAAAATTAGCAAGCAAAAATAAGTGTCATTTGAGTTTCACCACTAACTCTTGTCAAATTTTGCAGAACCATTCCTTGGAAACGATTGGTACAGCTAAGCTTCAAAGAGGATTGTATGTAATATATACTGCCACTAGTTTTTCTTCTTGCAATTCTATTTCTTCTGATTCTTTTGAGAAATGGCATTCCAGATTAGGTCACATTTCTGAATCTGGTATGCAAATTATCTCTAAGCAGTTTCCTTACATACCTTGTAAAAATAATATGACACCCTATGATAGCTGTCATTTTTCTAAGCAAAAGAAGTTACCTTTTCCTAATAGCATTACCAATTATGCATTTCCTTTTCAAATATTACATGCTGATGTGTGGGGGCCTTTTGCCACAACTTCTATTTCTGGACATAGGTATTTCCTTACCTTAGTGGATGATTACTCTAGGTTCACATGGATAATTCTCCTTAAAAGAAAAAGTGAAACCAAAAATTGCATCATTAATTTTGTGGCTTATCTAGAAAATCAATTCAATACTTCTTTGAAATGTCTCAGATCCGACAATGGGACTGAATTTGTCACCTTAACTGATTTCCTTAGGTCTAAAGGTATAATTCACCAAAGGTCTTGTATTGAAACTCCACAACAAAACGACATAGTTGAACGTAAACATCAGCATATTTTAAATGTTGCAAGATTCTTATACTTCCATGCTCATATTCCTCTCTCCTTATGGAGCTTCTGCATTCAACATGCTGTACACATCATAAACATAATTTCTAGTCCCTTGCTTAAATCTAAAACCCCTTATGAGTTGCTACACAAATCCCCCATGCCCTTCTTCACCTCAAAGTCTTTGGTTTTTTAGCTTATGCCACAACTATTCAAGCTCACAGGTCTAAATTTGATCCCAGAGCAAGAAAATGTGCCTTTATTGGCTACAAAGATGGAACCAAGGGTTATACCCTCTATGACCTCCAATCTCATGATATTTTCCTTTCACAGAATGTCACTTTCTATGAGGATACCCTTCCATTTCAATCTCTATCCAATCAGTCTTCTTCCCAAGAGTCCCAACACTTTCCTACATCTGTTGGATCTTTGGATATTGATGATATCTCTCCTTTATCCAGTGGTCCCTTCCATAATGCCAACATCAACCCTACTGATGCAGCCCAGAACCCTGCAGACCTAAACATTGTGGACAAAATTTGGTCCCTTTCACCTTTGTCCCTGCTACTATAGCAGATCAGTCACCTGTCACCTCTCCACCTGTTAATTCTGCACCATTTCCTCAATCTACCTCACATTTAGCTGAACCCAACTCAACCTACATTCCAGCTTATGCTAGTACTGAAGCTAGTACCTCTACCCCTCTTAGAGTCTCAACTCGTATTAAAAGACCTCCAAGCTATTTGCAGGACTATCACTGCAATAATATATCTAGCTGTACTAATCAAAATTCCACTTCTATTGCTTATCCTCTTTCATCTGTTTTGACTTATAATCATTGTTCTCCAGCTTATAAATTGTTTTGCTGCTATATTTCATCTAACAGTGAGCCCAAAACTTACAACCAAGCTTCCAAGTTTGACTATTGGAAGGAGGCAATGAATGTTGAGATTGCAGCTCTAGAGGTAAATAATACATGGACTGTTGTGGATCTTCGTTGTAGCAAGACTCCAATAGGTTGTAAATGGGTGTACAAGATCAAATATCATACTAATTGATCCATAGAGAGGTACAAAGCTCGCCTTGTGGCCAAAGGCTATACACAAATGGAAGGGGTGAATTACTTTGACACTTTTTCTCCAGTAGCTAAGATGACTACTGTGCATGTTTTATTAGCTCTTGCTGCTGTTAAAGGGTGGTTTGTAGAATAATTGGATATGAATAACGCCTTTCTTCATGGTGACTTACATGAGGATGTTTACATGACCCTTCCCCTGGTTATGCTACGAACTCTTTGAAGGTATGCAAATTGAACAAGTCACTATATGGCTTGAAACAAGCCAGTCGCCAATGGTACTTCAAACTCTCTACTGCCCTTGTGTCTATCGGTTACAAACCCTCTCAA